TGAGAAACTGTTGGAAGCCTTTGATTTAAACCTCCTGCCCTGGCCTTCAGTGTGGTGTAACTGCAAGGCACGAGATCACAGAGATCTCGTGGGTGAAGGAGAAGGTATTTCATTAGTTGAGGGAGCTGTGCTTGTACCAAAGAGGCCTAGAGCCTCAGCACCCTCTGCCCACCTCCTGATAGCATCTTCAGAGCGAGCCAGGCTTGCAAAGGGCAACAGTTTCCGTTGTCAGGAAGGTGAGAGGTGTCCATGTGAGGCTGGTATGTGTGTTGGCATGTGTGGGTGTCACAGCAGAGCGTGCACTGAGCTGGCCCCTGAAGCCTGGCATGACTGGGCCAGGGCCTGCTTTTCCACTGTGGTCAGAGAAGGGCCACACCACACGAGGCAGCGTGCATTTCCCACTGCCCTCAAATGCAGCCGTGCCCCACCATCCACATAGCCTTGAACAGGGTCCACATCCAGCCCTCTAAATCCTGTGGGAGCTCCCAGCCAGCAGTGGGAAAGGGAAGGTGGGAGAAAGGAGGTCTGGGCAGGCTGAATCCACTGCTGGTGTCTGGCTGCAGTGTGCTAGATGGAGGGAGGTGGCAGCTCTGCTTGTGGCACTGGGCAATGCTGGCTGGGGTGTTGCATCGCCCCCTCTCCCTCTCTGGGCCCTGGGAGATGAACAAGGCTGGGGTGTGAGTGAAGCAGGCTGTCTGGGAGGTTTGGGAGAGGAGGAAGGACATCAGGCTGCAGCAGAGGGGAAACTTGCTCCAGTGCACTGTGGCAGCCCCTGAAAAGTGCACTGATGTGGGGCAGATCTTGCACAATAGCTGGCAGCTGAGGCAAGGCCAGAGAGTCTTCCTGTGACTGCCCCTCCTATGACAAAGGAGATGCGGAGCCAGGTCTTTCCTTGTGTCCCTGCTCTCCCTGGTGCTTTGGGTGCAGGCACATCCGCCTGTGCCCACCGACAGGGTCAAGGGCCTCCTTCATACTTTTCTTGTCCTGCACCATGTCCTGCACTCCACCTCCTTTCTCCTGCTCCCTTCCTTTCCTACCTGCAAGACCAGGGACCTGCAGGAAGGCAGTTTTCAGGGACAGCCCTGTGATAGATGCCTTGAACAAACTTCAGACATGTCCACAGAGCCTTTTGCAGCAGAGCTGGGATTACTCCTTCAGGGGAAAATATAGGCACAGCTCCAGGGGCAGTGCTGTAGCTGTGCATCCCAGGGCACTTGCTTGTCCAGGAGAGAGATTCTGGCTGTCACCAACCCCTGAATTACATTCCACAGGGCAGCTCCATTGCATGGAAAAAACCACAGACCTGGGGTGAATGAATGAATGAATGAATGAACAGTCTCATGGCCTTCTAGGCATGAGTGCACTCACTGGCAGGCCAGCAGGGCTGATCTGCCCCATTCTAGACCTTGTTCCTTCAAAGCATTGCAGGGTTCCCCTTGCCTGATCCGAACCCCACCTGCAGCAACTCCATGGTCAGGCATTCATGGTGTGATGGGTGGCACCAGCTACAGACCCTGCCTGTCACCATGCATCTTACCCCAAGGGATTTGGCTGAGGAGACTCTTCAGGGGCCAGGCTGAAAGGTTGAATCATAGAAAACTTTTCTTGAAGATCTGACTGCACATTTCCTGTCCCCCCTCCCTCCCTCTCTCCTTTCCTCACCTTTTGTAACTGTGACAAAGTCACTTCCAATCTGCCAGCATCTCACCTCAAGGAACAGGAACACGCACAAACACAACCACTACACTTCCTGAGGACACATTTTTATCTGCTTCCTCAGAAGTAAATAAAAAATGGGAAGAAGGCTGGGCTCTGACCTGACAGAGCATTGCATTTACTAGGATACATATAGCCCTTGCTCTGGGCCTGTCACAGGACCAAAGAGGCCTGTAGGGATGTGTATGATTATGTATTGCACCCTTTGCCAAATGAAGTGTCTGGTACACATCAAACCACAGGAGAAACTATGTGAAGGCAAATTAAACTCAAAACAGAAGGTCCTATATGGGCACCTCGTCTTGTTCTTTTGCCTGTCCTTCTACCTCAGCAGGAGTCCTCTCAGTCCAAAGATAATAAACAGAACCCCACATACCTCTTTGACTTGGACTGAGACCCCAAAAGGCATCTCCCTGTCCTTAGGATTCTGTCCTTCCCGATCTTTCACTCAAGCTTACAAGTCTCCAGGCCCTGCTCACATCTTCCCTTCCCCCTCAACTTTATGAGCAATTGCCACTTGTCCTTCCACCCCTGACCTGAACCTCAGGCCTTTCTCATCACACACAGATCTTCCAAATAAGCATTCCAGCTTAATATTGGAACTCCCACTCATTCCAATATTAGGAAGCATAAGTGTCCAGTCAACAGTTTACTGTCCCTCCTACACTCTGCTTCCTGGCCTTCAGCTCTTGGCAGAGAAAAGAGAAATGCCATAGGGAAAATAGTGCTTACCAAGTACTTGATAGAAGAATGTGCTAAAAAAAATTCATAAGATAAAGGGATCTGATCTCCTTTAAGAGAACTCCAACATTAACCCAGCCTTCCTCCATATAAATAAGTACTTGAAGCCTACTCCTACAACCCATTGTATTGTCCTGGGAATTTTTTTTGTAATCTCCAAAGAATCCTTTTCTGAATTTGCTGAAAGCTTTTCCAGCAAAAGGGAGAGGGTTGTCATAATTAGAAGTGTTCAAGCAGTTAATATTTTAAGGTAATAGTTCCTTGCAAAGTAAACAGACACAAGATTGCCAAGGATTACCCAGGGAAGTTTCAGAGCTGAGTTAAACTCTGTACCTGTCAATTTCAGGCCAGTGTCTTTTCCATCACATCATTCAGCAATAACCAGAGCTAGAAGGAATAGGCTGGGAGAGAAAAACAGATTTAAGTGCAAAACAACCAAGGAAAAAAGTTTAATACCACTGAAAATATATATATATACAAAAGTTCTTGGAGTTTGTTTGGTTTTGTTACATAAAGCACCATTAATTCCAGAGTACACCACAACTCAGCCTACTACACTTTCCAGAAAGCACCCAATACTCCTGAAATCTGATTTAGCACCAAGGGAATGCCATCTTGTTTAGCACCAGAAGCCTGTTAAACACACCCTTTGGTCCCCCTGCCCTCCTCTCTCACATGCATCAGGCACCCTCTGGCTGCTCATGCATAGCACAGGAGACCTGTCACCAGCATTCAATCACCAAATAGGAAAGGAGAAAGAAGGAAGCTTGTTTATGGAGATATTCAGTGTTAGAGAGGCTTGCTTCTCCTCAGGGAGGCATGGGGCACTGTAAATTGACTATCTTTGGGTTTGCAGCCTGTTGAGGAAGAGAGAAAGGGATTCAGTCCTGAGCATCACTTCCAGCTTTCTGCTTCCTCGACTATCTGAAATCCTGTCTCTGAGCAATTCCACACACTTGACCTGCTAAGAGAGAGGAAGAAGCCCACAGTCTCCTTTAGTTTCCATGATCCCTTCATCACATGTTTCCCTGTGAAACAATCAGCCTTGCCTTAGTGAAACTTTGTTTTTATACCCATTGCCTCACTGACAGTGGTGGGGAGGATCCAGAGCCAAGTTCCTGAAACTCACTGCAGTCTGTGCAGCTTCCTTAGAAAAGCATGGAGAGTAAGCAAACAGGATAAGAGAGAAAATGCCCTGCAATTTTTTCAAGGTCAGTTTTAATATTTCACCCTTGGTCCCTGTTCCTTTGCTATCCCGGGCTGGGTGTACCAGACATAATCTTGTACAATGATGCACATTTCTTCTGGGAGAGCTCTGGAACTCCCAGGTGCTATAGGCAGAGACCATGGCAGAAAGACAGCCGAACCCGGGTAAGTCCAAGGATTTCATGACCAGTGATGAGCAGACGAGAAATATCTGTGTCTCTCCTGCTTGTCCTGCCCTGAGACTCAAAAAGGAGACAAGTCCTGGCTTTTCTGTTTATGGGAGCATCACATGTGGAAGTAGGTTTCCTAAAGTGCTGAGCCAGCCTCACCTGCTCCCCCAGGACTGCAGCATCCCCACCAGAGGGATGCCAGTGGGAGCAGTGTGAGACCAATATAAATAGTACTAGAAAACCCTACCACTGGCATTCCTTTCTCACTGCGACATCTCCAACCTGACAAAAAGAGCGAGGGTTTGTTTAGCCACGTGTTTTCCTCACTTACTCTGATGAGATTGCCAGAAAAGGGCATGGAGCATACAGCAGGGAAGCTTTTAATCCTTGGGCAAGGTGCTGTTGTCTCACCTCCATCTCTGTTCCATCACAGAGGCAAAGACAAGGCAGCTTGTCCACGTTTGGAATGGATTGAACTGCAATTGCCCCTACAGCCTCAAGCTCAGGCCCTGAAACAGTGGTCCTTCAATACCAGTGTGGGAGAACCACCTTCAGGAGGACAATGAAATGGCACCTCTGCCAAAGGAGAGCAGATTTGGGTTCCCTCTCTGGACTAGCTTCCCATAGCTGATGAGCCAAGACTCAGTAGCACCCCAGGGAAGGTGTGGGAGGGGTTTTCAAGGTTTTCTCTCTCTGTCTCTCTTTCTGTACTGCTGATCTCTAGTGGAAACAGAATGGCTGCCTCTACCCATGAAGGGTCTGGCCAGGTGTCTGGCCCTTCATATTTTGGAGAGCTAGAGCTGGCACAGAGGAGGACAATCCCACCAGGTCTAGGTTTGATGGCCAGCCTGGAGTCTGAGACACAGAAGAGTGTCTGTGGAAAGCCAGTTTAGAAGGCCAAGTGTTCTCCTTTTGAAAAGACAATATCCTCTCCCAGTGCTCCTACATCTTACTTGTGGTACAGGAGACCATCAGACCTCAGTCTGCTCTCCAGACTACAGATATCAGAGGTGACATCAAGACCTTGTTTCAGGCTGCAAAACTGAAACATGTCTAGTTGGGATGGAGAGGAGCCAGGATGTACCTCAGCAGTGGGGACTTTCAAGTCCTTTCCACAGGAGTCCTTTGTGTATGAAGGCCCAGGAGCAGCATTTTGGCTTCCTCTTGCTCTAGAACCCTAAATGCCAGAGGCAGCTTGCTGGCAGATTGAGAAGAAGCCAATAACCTAAATTGGGATTATGAGGTGAGGGGCAAGAGGTGGTAGTGCCATGATGTAAAGTGGACAGATACAGGTCTGGCTACAAGAGAGCGTGAGGTGGGAGCCAGTGTGGCAAGCTTCACACCCGGTGCCTGAGATTTGACAGGCTCATTTCCAAGTGATTTGCAGTGGTTACGGGCAGTAAAGAGAGAAAGAGAGAGAGAGAGAGAGAGAAAAAGGAAGAGAGAGGAATAAGGAAAAGGCCTAAGAGCCCCAAGGAAGAGGAGTTATTCAATGCTGGGCTTGACCAAATACCCACTGAAGGTGATGTACACATCAACATCATCACTGTAAATGGCATTCTCCCGCTCCCGCTTGTAGAGCCTCACCCAGATCTCATCATTTTCCTGGAGCTCCAGCATGAGGCTCTGGCTCTGCATGATGCTGCGGTCGCTGGGTTGGGCATACAGGATGACAGCCTCCTCTTCATTGTGCATGATGTGCATGTAGGTCTCCTTGAAGTTCCAGGTGTGGACATTGAGGCTGAAATAGTAAAGTCCACCCACTGAGCAGTAGAACTTGCCATTGAACATGTCGAAGTGGCTGTAGAGGTTGACGAAGACGGTGTCAAAGATGAGGACCTGGAAGCCCTCGCTGCTGTGCAGCGCTTTCTTGCGGCCCACGGAGAAGGCAGCGTACTGATGCTTGCAGGGGTCTCCCGCCGTGCCCATCTGTCCCTTGCTGCCCTTCTGGCCCTGGGCACCCCGCTCGCCTCGTGGTCCTTCTTTGCCCCATTTCCCTGGCATCCCAGGCTCTCCCCGGTCTCCTTTCTCTCCTACAGGAGGAAGCAGAGGACACAACTCCTGTGTGATACCAGAAGATGTGGAAGCGGCAGTGAGAAAGCTTAATGAGGAGGAAGAGGATTGCACAAGAATGGGGCAATGCCAGAAGAAGGAACACTTCTGAGGGTGACAATACCACTGCTCTTCATGGGAAAGCAGCTAGCAGAACTCTGGGAGTTACGGGAGTCTCTTCCCCAATGAATCCCCTGCTCACCAAATGATGTGGCTCTGCTGGAGGCACCAGGATGTCTCCCTAGGAGACTTCAGCCTCAGAGGGAGCCCAGCAGCCCAAAGTACTGCTGGGGCTCTTGGCCTCTTCTTCCTCCCCCACACTCCTTTACCTCCAGCGCAGCCTTGCCCTCCCATGCCCCAATTATCCACAGAGGATGCACACCGGTCTGGTTGTAGGCTGCAGCAGGGGAGGAACTGCTAACACCTGTGTGGGAATATGATTAGGGTGGATCAGAGGGAAAAGATCCAAGCTGGACAGGGTAGATGGAACACTGCAGCTTAGAGAGATGATGCTTTCACAGTACTGGCATGCTTTGAGCATCTTGTATAACAAATACTGCAATTCTAATGTGGGGTGTGGGCACTGCCCATCACACACTTGGGCCGGCATCAATACATAGAGAGACCAGCACCAGAATGTCCTTGTCTATACAGAGAAGAAATGGGACTCAGAGCAACCTCCAGCTCTAAGTGACAGCATTCAAAATCTGTATCTTGTTCTTTTCCTCCTCTCCATTCCCTGCATGGTATTGAAGGTCCTCCTATGACACCCCACTCTAGTCTAGGCCTCTATCTGCCCTTCTGAGCTTTGATGGATTACAGCTGCTTCCAGGCAGGGCAGGGACGGGAGAGCATCCACCCAGTTAACCCAGAAAAACCACAGAGCTGCAAGAAGCATGTGGCAGCATCCAGCTGGGAACAGGCTTTTGCCCACCGCAAAGGCTAAAAGGGGAGTCCTGAAGGGAGGAGCTGATCTAAAATAGGGAACCCTTTCCAGTTAGCCAAGCCAGCCACTGCAGGGTGGAATGAGCTGGGGGTCACTGCAAGTTTAACCTGGAGGTGCTTGCAAATAACTGCTGCTTCCCTTTGCCCTCCTCATGGTACCAAATGCACATGACCCACGGTGCTGGAGAAGGTTTCCCCACAACCTCCCCGGGTGCCAATGCCCTCCAAACAGCTTATTTTGCAGTTGATAAGGAGTGTTCCTTCCCTCAGGCACTACAGGACTCTGTAAGTCTGAGACAAGGAATGTGTCCTCCCAGCTTGGCAAGAGGCTGTCCTGTGTCAGCAAAGAGGAAGAATTAGCAGCAGGCACATCCTGAGACACAGAGATCACAGCAGAGATAGCACTGACTTCTATCCCCCCAGGCTACTCCTCATCACAGCACAAAACACCTAAACCCTGGGCACAGTGTGTGTGGTCACTCATCCTCCAGGATGGCTCCTGGTGGTGTCTGGACAGCAATCCAGCTGTCACCTCCACTGCAATGCCATCAGTCCATGAGCCAGCCTTGGCATCCCGGGGTAAAGACTTACCCTTCAGAATGGTGATGTTGATGTAGGGACGGACCTCTGGCACTGGGTAGGGAAAGTGGTGATGGCTGGGAGGGACTGGTGGGGTATCTGTGGAAGAGTCCAGTGAGTCACAACAGCGCTTGCAAGCACCAGGGCCTGGTTCTGTGAGGTTGGGTTCATCAGCGGGTGCCCCAAACACAACAAGAGGGAGAAAAAGGAAGGTCAGGGATGTGCGCAGGTAGGTTATGTCCATGGTGACCTGGGAAGATATGAGGAAGTGCCAAGAGTGAGGTATAAAGAAGGGAGAGGACATAGCGGATGGAACAGAGATCATGATAAAACATCTTTCTGTGGCTGGAGCTGGGGTGGGATGAAATGGCATCGTCCTGTGGAGGGAGCTTACAGGCTTGGTCAAGGCTGCAATCGGAGCAGCAACCGCATGGCCCATGAGGATGCCCCACGCCCTTCTGCCCAGGCCAGTGGAGACTCGGTGCTGACCCTGGGAGAAGGCTTGGTGCTGACTGGGCAAACCATTAAAGCCACTAGAATATGCAATCCCCAGGCTGGGATAGAGGAAGGAGACAGAATCACAGAATTGTTAAGATTGAAAAAGACCTCTAGGGTCATTGAGTCCAACCTCAACAGCTCTTCAGCAAAAGCATGCTCTGGTAGGCTGCTCAGTGAATCTGTGGGAATCACTGTAAAAAATTCTCCAGCCCTCCTATCACTGCATACCAGCTCTTTATAGGAACCTAACTCCAAAATCCCCATGTCCCAGCAGAGATGCCTCTTCCCCTGTGGGCTGGGAACCTAACTCCAGCCCCCTCCTTTCCCCACCGAATCCCACCCGTCCCGGCGGCTCGGTCCCCTCCCAGCGGGTTCCCAGGCAAAGCCCAGCACCTTCCCGAGGGGTCGGCCGGCCCCACGCAGCCTTCGGCGGGCCCGAGGGGAGCTGCCTCGCTGCCGAGGGTGAAGGACGTGAAGCTCCGCAGCTCGCAGAGAGTGTGCTTACGAAAGACAGGCCCGCCAAGCAGCGGAGAAAGCCCCTGTGGCGGCCTGTGCCCTCATGGTGCTGCCTGCCCCGGCGTCGCGCTGTGCTCACCCCACGGGCCGCAGGGTCCCCGCTCCGCGGCCCAGCCCCGGCTCGCCGGCTCCCTGTGCCTGCGGGGCAGGCCCCCGAGCCGTGGCTTTAAGGAAGCCAGCTCTTGGCACAGGCGCTGCTCAGCGCTGGCCGGGCGCGCAAGCCGGGCTTGAACCGGCTCCCTCCCCTCTCCTCTCCCGCCTGCTCCCTCCCTGGCTTTTGGGTGCTCTCCATCCCAAACCGGCTTGGGTTTCAGCGTCTTTTTAACTCTTTCCTAGGAAGCGCCTTTTCCTCGCACACGATGTTGGTTTGGTTTTATTCTCTGCCTTTTCACTTCCAGCCAGCAAAAAATGCAGGCAGCACAGACTGTGCCCTGTGCAAGGGGTGGACAGCAGCAGGGCAGTGTCCCATCCTTGGCATCTCAGGATGGACAAGGTAAGGTGCATTGGTGTGAGACACACTTTCCTTCAGGCATGGTGCTGCAGAATTCTGCCCTCAGTCCTTTCTGCTAGTCCCTTGTCCCAGGGCCATGCTTGGCCATGCTCTCTCCCCAGCTGTGCCTGACCCACTCATGGTCCCCAGACTTCATCTTTCATTCTCTCCTGCATTGTTTTTTCTGCACATCACTGTGGCCTCTTGCCCTAGGCATGATATTTCTAGCAGGAGCGGCTGCCAACTGGGAGAGGCATCAGTTTTTTCCCTCTCTGGTCATCCCCTCTGCCTGGGCAGAGCCCCAAGCCTTGTGCTCCAGCACGTGTCATCCCTCGGTCATGTCCCCTGGTTAGGTCCCAGGCCGAGCTTTTTGGATGGGAGGGGTGTGCCTGCTCTGAAGCAAAGCCTGGCTGCTGGGAGCTGCCTGACAGCAAAACTGGGGATCTGGAAACAAACCCTGGCTGTGACCATTGTCCCCAGCTTGGCGCCAAGCTGACAAGCTTGTGCCTTTGGGGTAAGCACAATGTGGATGCACCAGAACATTGGAATGAAGGGCATTTTGGAGGGGAGAAGAATGCAGGGTGGGAGAGATGAGAGATTTTTCTCACACTGCAGAGTCTGTTGGGAAGAGGATTGGAGGATTCTATCCTGCACCAAAACTGACCTGGGTATTTATACCCTGGGTATATTTGGGGTGGGCGGTGTGTGCACACACGGATCTTTGGGAGGCAGAAGGAAGGGTGGACAATATCTCTGCTCTGCAGGGGTCAGAAATGCCAAGTCAGCACTGTGCCTCCTGCAATTTCCAAGAGGAGCTGCAGAAGGCTCCAAAGTTTCTGAGGGGAATCAGGTTTTGATCGTGTCTGCATGTGCTGGGACTTTTTTTCCCTGTTTCCCTTCTCCCATTTGTTTGGTTTAGGAATGGGAGGCCCCGCTTCCCAGAGAGTGGCTGGCGTTTGGCAGGACCCCAGAACCACTGGAGAAGCAAGCGGAAAACTCTGGGAAAATATGCACTGTGAGCTGAGGGGGAAGGGAGGAATGGGGGCTGGGAGGCCTGGAGATATTCTCAGGCTGCCTGTCAGCCTGGAGCTCAATGAACATGGAGTGAACATGCCTTCCAGCTGGGGCAGGAAGAGGATGGAGAAATGCACTGCTGAGTGTGCGAGCTCCTCACCGGGCTCCAGCACTGATGTGCAACGAAATCCACTGCAAATTGCCCACATTTGCCTGTGCCTCAGTTTCCCCTTTTGGGAAACAAGGAGGGGAAAGTTTAGGGCAATACATCTGCTAATGGAGCTTTACCAGCTGACAGAAGAGGAGTTTTGTGATGAGTTGTGTTGTCTACTCCTGGCTGCTGCTGGTGGGAATTTTGGCAGCTGACAGTACTATTAAAGGCAAGAAAAATTTCTGGGGTGCATGAAAACTTGGAGACTGATACGGAAGACAAAGCTTCTGCACTGCCTCTCTCAGGTTTTCCTCCCTGGCTTATTTCCAAACATGACATTACCCACTTGAGCTTCTTGGCCTTATGCCTGGCCTCTTCCACCTTTCCAGGGGAAACAGGTAACAGGGAGGCCATTGTCCTCATTTCCGTCCCACATTTCCATCTGCACTCCTGAGCTGCTCACAGCCAAGCAGATGTTCTTCATGGGGGACCTCATCTGCTGGGGCCTTTGCCTGTGTCTCATCTGATTGCAAGAACAGCTCACAGTGGGGAGTGAGCAGGACTTTGTGTTTAATGTCTCATCTGGGCTGAACAGGGACCTGCCAGGAGCCAGCAAACAAAGATGTGCTCTGGTATTGCCCAGCTGGGCAGCAATTTGTGCCAGTAAAGACACTTCTGCTAGGGTAATACTGCCCTGCTCCCCAAAGGGAACAGTGTGTACCAGCAATATTTTGCCAGGGCTGTTACATTTACAGGAGATTTTGAGAATTCTATCCAGGAAACCTGTGCCAGCATGCTTTAAAGTGCAGTCCAAGCCTGAGGGCACCTTGTGTGCCCAACAATCTTCGCTCTTCCTCATCACACACTTTGCCTTGGCAGCAGCCCAGGCAAGCACTGTCCAGATTATACTGCAACAATCCCTGCTCAAAAGCAGCTGTTTCCTCCTCCTCCATTTCCTCCCTTTTCCTGTACCCACCACAACACTGGCAAAGTAGGGGGACAAAGACTGTCTCTACCTCAGTGGCTGCATCCATCCTATTACCCCATTCTACCACAGGTACGGAGAAGGAAATTGATGCTTTCTCTCCTCTCTAGCCCCTGTGTACAGCTCAGCCCCCCTGTGGCACATGTGGACCATCTGCCCTGTTGCACACACACACACCCACGCACAGACACTCGCCCTTCGCAGCTCCTCCCTCACCAAACCTCCAGGGTGAAGGGGGATCATTTGCACCAAGAGCCAGAGGAAGAGTCGCTTCTCCTCGCCTTCCTGACTGCTTCTCCTGCACCACAGCTGCCTTTCCTTCCCCACGCTCCCCGCTCGTCTTCCCCTGATGTTCCAGAGCGCCAGAAGCCGGGCGGGGCAGAGGAGCAGCCCTTACCTCCGCTCCCCTGGGCAGGGTCCCGCGCTGGGTTATCGGTATCCCGAACCCCGTATCCCGTATCCCGTATCCTCAGCTGCTCCTGCTTAGCAGCGCAGGAGGGAGGGAGGGAGGGAGGGCTGCCGGGGCCCAGCTGACTCCAGCCAGATGCTCGCCAAGTGCTCTTATGTAATTACTGTCTTTTCCATCCTGCCTCCAAGGCCTTTGTGAGTGCCTCCCCTCCTGCTCTGGCCCGTGTCAGGCTTGGCTCTCCCTCCCTCTCTCCCTTCTTCCCTCCCTTCCTCCCTCCCTCCCTTCTTCCACCCACCCTGCACAGCATCACAATTTGCTCAGCTCAACAGCTGATTCCTTCTGGAAGCAAAGTTCAGGCTTTTGGCTACTGCTGTTACTACCCTTGGGGAGAGCTCACATGTGTTTCAAGAGCTGGGAAGGGATCAGCAGCACTGCTCTGCACTTGCCTCCTCTCCATCCCAGCCTGGCTGCTCCTGGGTGCCTTTGCCTTGCCCTTCCATAGTGCCTGTAATTGGGGAGGGGTGCACCTGAGACATTAAAAGGTGGCAGTGTGGTTTTTTGCTTCAGTAATTTGTGGTGCCCTCGGGTTATCCTGTAACAGCAGCTGTCACTCTGCTGTACCAGGATCGTTGATCATCTCTGGCCAGGCAGCAGAAGAAGCTGGGAAGAATAGATGACCTTTAAAGGTCCTCTCAAGCTCAAACTATTCTGTGATTCTATGATTAGATGAATCTTTTCCAGCCTGGGGACTCCACGTCTATGCACAGGGCTTGTGCAACAGCCAGCCTGTGTTACTCAAGAGCACCAGCATGGTTCAAAATTACTGGTTTAGAATACTTTCTACGTCTCTAAGGATGGGCAGACTTATTCGATGTCTGCTGCATGGCTACATTTCTCTTTAGACTTCTGCCCATGTGGAGCCTGGACCAAGCAGAAATGACACGTTCCCTGGCTTTATGCAGGCTGCTGCTGAGTTTGAAGGCACTTCTGCCAGCAGGGATTTCTGCTGCTGTGTGCTTCTTGGCGGCCTGGCCTGTCTCACACAGAGATCAAGGCCTGGCAAAGACTCTGCGCTTTTTTTTTTTTTTTCTTTTTTCTTTTTTTTTTTTTCTTTTTTCTTTTTGCTGTGCATTGCTGAAATGCCACGTGGCTGAGGAGCAGCTGGAAGAGCCTCACCTGCACTCATTGCTAGACCTGGCAGTCTCCAATACTGAGCATGAAAGTGTGAGCTTGTCTCCTACATCCCAGTGCCCCCGCAGAGCCAGTCCTTGTGTGACACAGCTGAGCAGGGAGGGAGTCAGACACTGGCTCACAAGCTGCATCAGCTGGAGATGCCTCACAGCATCACCCGGGCTGCTCCTCTCCCCATCAGCAGCTTTTCCAACTTGAGTGTCCCATCTCTTACCTTGGCCTTGTGACCCTGCCTGTGAGACCAAGGAACTGTGCTGGTATCTACCCCAGACTCTGGCATATGACTACAAGGACTATCCCTACTGCAACCAGGAAGAGTTTGCTGCCTTGTGAACATCTAGATCCAGCAGCTTGGCTGGGTGGGAGATACCAGGTGACATTGTAGCCTGTTTGAACCAGTTCTTAAAAATAACCTTCAGGCAAGCCTGCTGCCTTCTGCTTCTCAGAATCTACATGCACCTGAAGGCCCCTTCCTCCCATCCACTCCTGTGTAGACCCAGAAAATTTTACTCTTTTGCCACCTTCTTCTATGCAACCCCCTCCTCGACCTGCCCGTACCACTTATCAACAGTAGATCACTGCTCAGGCATATCAGCTCTCACAGGGAGTGCTGAGAAAGTTGCACAGCGGTTTGGGTGAGAAAACTTTCTTCAGATAGCCATGAGCTTTCTCACCAAAGAAACAAAATCTTTGTGCAGGGAGGAGGGGGTGGTGGGGCATGAGAGGACAGGTGGATGGGCAAGGAAGCTGGTGTTTAAGAGCTCACAAACTCTTGGATCTGTGAGGGGTGCTTTCTGCTAAGGGAATCACACTGACATGACAGAATTATAGAATCACAGGGTGGTTTGGGTTGGAAAAGACCTTCAAGATCATCTAATTCCAAGCCCCCTGCCATGGGCAGAGACACATTCCAGTAGATCAGGTTGCTCAAAGCCTGGCCTTGAATGCTGCCAGGGATGGGGCAGCTACAGTGTCTTTGGGCAACCTGTGCCAGTGCCTCACCACCCTCACAGTGAACAATTTCTTCCTCATATCCAATCTAACCCTGACATCCTTCATTTTAAAGCCATCCCCCTTTGTCCTATCACTACATGCCATTGTGAAAGGTCCCTCTCCAGCTTTCCTGTAGTCTCCTGTTAGGTGCTGGAAGGGCTATAAGATCTCCAGGGACCCTTCTCCTCTCCAGGCTAACAACCCCAATTATCTCAACTTGTCTTCATAGGACAGATGCTTCAGCCCTCTGATTATCTTCATTAATGTCCTTTTAATGTATCTTCATTGGACCTGCTCCAATATGTCCATGTCCTTCATATATTGGGGCTCCCAGACTTAGATGCAGCACTCCAGATGGAGTATCACCAGAGAGGAGAAGATGGCAAGACGTGCTTGCCACGTTTCGTTTGATGCAGCCCAGGACACAGGTGTCTCTCTGTGCTGCGAGTGCACAGGTCCCCGCGGATGTTAACACGGGGGGTTAACACGGAGAGGCTCCAGCGCCGCTTGGCAGCCCCGGTGAGCAGGGCAGGAGCCGCTGCCGGCCGGTGTCCGATCCCCCTCTGCAGGACGCGCCGCGCAGCGCCCGTTTCCCTGCATCCCCCGCATTCCCCGCATCCCCCACCCCGCATTCCTCGCATCCCCCGCCCTGCATCTCCCGCCCCGTACCCCCGCATCCCCCGCCCTGCATCCCCCGCCCTGCCCTCCCGCCCCGCTGCGCGTCCCCCGGCGGTGTCCCCCGAGCCCGGGAGCAGGGCAGCACCGGGACGGGCTCTCGCGTCCCCTCCGCCCGCAGCTCCGCGGCCGCTCCGGCTGCCGGGCACGGCGGGGAGCGCGGCGGGGCGCTGCCTCCCCGGGCGCTCATTGCCAGTCGAGGCATCCGTACTGCCGTGCCCCGCGGGCCTGTTTGTCACGGAGAGCAGGCTGCTGCGCTGCGGCCCGGGCACGTGTCCTTGCCCGGCTGCATTGACGCACTGGCTCTGTGTCTGTTTGTGCATGACGCGCCGAGTGCGAGATCTGCGTGAGCCGGCTGCGTGGTGTGTGGCGTTTGCACCGTTTATGCTTGGGAAGGCAAAGAACAGCAATTTTTCATGAGCAAATATTTGCATATTTTCCACTCGTTCGAGCAGATAAAGCATTTCAATTCTCTGTCGGATCCTCAGGAGAGCTAGGAACATCTTCTTTTGAAAGGTGTTTCCCCTTTTTCTATTCCCCTGTCTCTTTTCTCTGTAGGCTACTCCATTACAACAATGCTTCCTGCCCCCTCCACACACCCCCTTGTTCCACAGCCCTGTACAACAACAGAAAGCAGAACATGGCCAAGACAGTTTTGCTGTTGCCTGATCTGAGCTGCTGTGATTCCCTGCTGATGACAAATACAGCGGCTCCCTAACAACAGCTTCGAATGACATTATGTGTGGGCTGTGCTGGTAGCAGCCTGGAAATCACCCTCGGTTCTCCACACTGGAGCCCCTCTGCCATCACTATTCAACACCCCTCCAGTTTTCCTCCTGAAGATCCACTGCAGGGCAGAAAGGCCACACTGAGTGGGTCAGCAGCTGCTCCAGACCACTGTTGTGTGATTGGGTTTGGTGTGTGTATGTTTGTGTGTGTGTGTGTACATTTGTGTGTATGTTTGTGTGTGTGGGTGTGTGTGGAGGGCCCTTGTCAAGGCGCAGCTGCCCCCTTCCAGCCGGAGCCTGTTGCATTAAGGTGAATGTGCTGAGTTCTTGGTGTTGGTGCTTAGGCTGAGCAGCACACACAGGTCTGGGTGTGTGGGCACCTCTGTGAGTGGCCCCATATAGTCTCATGCACACATATATGTGCTTGAATCCGTGGCATGAATACGTCTGTGTGTTTATACACATCCATATGCACACGCACACACACAGAGGCACGCAATCATGCAATAAACACTCATTTTCATGCATGCACAGCATGCACAGCACACACAGATGCCTCCCTCTATCTGCTCTCGTGGGGTCTGATGTGTGTGCACAAACCCTCTGACAGAATGGGGTCCCCATGTCTCTATCACCCATCTGTAATCACACGTTTGCTGGGAAGAGGATTGCACAATGCTGCTGAAATCATTGCAGCCCTTTCTAGTCTTGCAGCTCTGATCACTACGTGACAAGAATGAAACCTTTTGTGCAGCACAGGGCTTGATGAAGCCCTTATCTCTGTGTCTCTGCACCCAGAATAGAAAAGCACTTTTCCATAGCTGACTGGAGCAAATCCCCCCTGAACAGTTCCAGACTTTCATTTAGCCACTGCACATGGTCCCCATGGCCTCTGGGCTGCCCAGGGCCAACCACAGCATCGTTAGGGAGAGGGAGAGGGATCACAAGGGCAGTCAGATTAATGCCATTACCACAGACAACTCTGGGGATTCACCAACAGGGAGACAGTGCTGAGGAAAGAGCAGGGGTCAGGAGACAGTGACCTCCTGATCATCATTCCAAATGCCTGTTCTTATGAAAACTAGCCTTTAAAGCAATGGTGATAGTTTGAAAAATTTTGTGGCATGTTTTCTCCTCTTGAATTTTGGACAAGAAATACCTTTTCCTTCCCCTCCCCCAGTCTTATTTTCTGTTCATCTTCATTTTTTATTTCCCTAATTTGTCACTGCAAAATAGGATACAGCCTAGGGGGGCGAAGAAAACACAAGACAGAAAAACGTGATGCTTGTGTCTCTTTTCTTTTAAACCCCTATTTAATCTAAAGATCTCCAGTTGTTGGGGTTTTGTTTTTTTTGCAGATCTCTCTGGAACACATTTTGTTTGCCCCAGCAGGCTGCCCTGCAGAGCTGCCTTGGTGGGAGCTCAGATTCCGTGTGTCAAAATGATGTCTCCTTGGCATGCTTGCTTGGTGCTGGCATCGCAGTGCTTGGGCTCTTAAGGAATGTTGGTATTTTAAGAAGCCAACCAGTCGACAGAGTTTCTTGAATGGTGATTTGCAGCAGATGGAGCTGCAAAGGCATGTGAAATGAAGTCTCAGCTCAGTGTGGTGGTGAAGGAGACTGTCTCCGTTAAGTGTGTTGGCAGCTGGGGAACTCCCCCCATCTCCCCACAGCAGCTGGGCTGCCACTCCATGGATAAGGAAACCCATCCTATATCTGCCCCCCATCCTCCTGAACTGCCTCCTGCAAGGTCCTTGATCACAGCCACATGCCTTCTTCAGTGCCTGGTCATCAATCATGAGCAGTGTTACAAGCTCCTCATGCAATACAATCTCTGCTCTGTCCTACAGGGATTGCTCTGCTGGGGGAGTCCAGCATTCACCTGGCTCTGCCCTCTCTGCAAGAGGAGCAACACAGACCAGAGTCTAAAGTGCTGTGTTGTCCATCTATCTGACCATTTGGTTGTCAGCCCTTTTAATCTTTCCACCGCTTGCTGCCCCTTATAGAGGCAGAAGCTTTGGCAGTCCATCCTTATTCTTCCAGGATTTCTTGGTCATGTTGCATCCAGTAGATGTTGCTGGAGCTCCCCAAGAAGCTAAATCAGAGGCTTTTTTTAGTCCCACAAACTTTATCCCACGCCCGTGAATAGTTTGGCTGCTTTTCTGACTGGGGCCCATGGTGTGGGAAGCTGATGCAAGGATTGAGGGAGAAAAAGATGTTAAGACATAGCAGAAGATAGAAACTGGCTCCCAAGCTTTCTTTTCCCCATGAGCTGAGCCTGCACTCCTGGGTGTCTGACTGCCCGTGCTCAGGGAAGCACTGTAAGGGCAGCTGAGCAGTTCCTGTGTGGTCTGGCAGGCAGCTCAGCTCCCGAGGCTGAGCCTGCAGGCATGGACAGCTTGGCACCACCATCCCAGGCTTAAAGAGGAAACATGAGGATGTAGGATTTCAGGGGACAATCATTGTTGTGGATGTGGTGGCAGTACCAGTGGCTGAGAGCACAGCTGAATGTGTTTTGGTTGGTTGTGTCTGCAGTCCCTGCCTACCCTTCCTCTGCTCTCTCACCTGGCTAGGAGATGTCTGTTCACCTGACACCCCGTGACAGTCATTTTCCAAAGTTGGGTGTCCTGCACTGCAGAACACAGTTCTGAGGCCTGCCAGGCCTTCTCACATTGCCTTTGTGTGACCTTGACTCTTGCTTCCTCATAAAGTGGTTCTGTTCCCACGATCCTCAGCTGCTGCAGCTTGTTCTACTTCCCAGTCCAGGACTTTTGGTTTCTGTCCCAGCACACCCAACCCCATGCCACCCCTTCCCTTCTCTTACCTTTTCTCAAGTGACCTGTGAGACATCTTTCCATTACCCAGCCATCTCCCATAATTGACCTTCCACAAGTGACCTCCTGCAACATCTCCTGACCTCAGGGAAGTGTGTGTCCTTCTGGTGGGTCCCTCCTTCCCATTTCTCAAAATTGTTTTTAGAGAAAACTGCCCAAAGGGCTGTGGTATGAGGGTCATTTCAGTGGCTGTAACTTAGCAACAGCATTCATGGAGAAGTTAAAAGTAATTTTTACAGACATTTTATATTTAACAGACATTTTAGCAGAGCTGCAGGAATGAAGCCAAAGTGGAGAGGGAGACCTTTATCCCACCCACCCTTGTAAGTGCTGCTCCTCTAGCCTGCACACTCTGATGGACCCATCCACAACTTCCCTCCAACAAGCAGCGTGCAGGAACAAGCACTCATCCAACTCCACAGCAGCACATTTGTTCTCCAGCTCTTATCCAAGCACTCACATCTGTACTTAAACATCCTGCAATTACATAAACACACTCCCTCACCTGTGTTTGTTGTACACTTACACACATGCATATCCCCTTAGGTACCCCTGCACACATGTGCACGCCCCCAGCAGATGAGCATCAGTGCCCAGGACTGGCACCAGCCTCCCACCAGCCCTGACTCCTTGGTCTCTGATCCTCTTCAACCAGCCTCCTACATGTACAGTCCAGGGAACAAAGTTTTGCCTACAACTGCCTTTGTACACATGCAGACACATCATTTGTTCACCATTCTGGGCCAAATACTCTACCACTTCCTACAGGATAAATTGGTTCCTAGTATTGCCCCGACTCTTTACAACCACAGCTCTGACACACTGGAGATCCCCTGACCTCTGCCTGCTTCCTGCCCCCATCCTGTACTGAGAGCTGCCTTCACCTCCTGTGCCAGCCAAACATGACTCTGTGCGGAGATTGACTCAGACATTGTGTATTCTCAGGAGAGCAAATCTATAGCACTCCCTTCCCTAAACACATAGAATGATTTTGCCCACCTGGCCTTCCAAGTCCAAAGGCTTTATTTATAGTAAAGCTTAAGGAGAAGGAAAGAAATGCTGCCTCCAACTCATGTCTCATTTATCTTCTCTACCCTTGTTACACCTCCCACCAGAGTGCTGAGGCACCAGGAGAACCCTGAGGAATGTGAGGTGTAGGAAAGAAATGATTGAACTTTTTCTCCCAGGCAAGTCTCATCATCCTGGCCAGAGTCCATAAGAGCTCTGAAAAGAAAGAGGAGGTTTTGAGCAGTCAGTGCTCTCCAGCCAGACCACCACAGGCAGAAAATCTGTTCCTAATACTTTTTGAAGAACAAGAAAGGGCCAGCCATGCATGGAACTGGCTGGTATATCTTTGCTGCAGACATTTCTCTTTCCTGTTCATCTTTTAAGGCAGACCACTTCTCATGTTTATAAGTCAAGGCACTGGGTTGCCTACATGTGGTATATGCCATCTGGGGACTTCCTCAAGGTGCCACCATGAGATGGCAGCCTATGCCCTCCAAAGCTGGATCACCTAAGGGCAAATCATCACTCTTGGGCTGACCTTGTTTCTCTGTACTCCCAGTGCCCATCACCTCTTCAGCTCTCCCTAAATGCAGTCTGCTCTTTACGTGGTGTTGACAGATGAAAAATCATTTGCTCCTGGTGGCGAATACGCTGCTTATTCTTCAAAGACATGGCCTATGGTGCTGCACAATGTTTATTCTGTAGGAAGAAGAACTCAAAAGCAACCAGCCCAGTTGTGCCAACTTTTACCAGTTCACCAGGCAGTCAGGTATGACTTTGGGGTCACCAGCCATAGGGGACCACCAAGAGACTCCCAGGACAGAAAAATACACGTGTAAAGGAGAGGGAAAATACATTAATGGTTTTGGGGAAATCAATATCATATGTGTGTTTATACTGGGAAAATTAATGAGCATGTATGTAAAATATAGTACATAAATGGGAGCTTTTTTTATACTCAACATGCATGATATTTTGAAGGAGAGATCCCCTTGTGCATCCAGCCAAATAAAGAATATCTGCTTCTTAACGCTACATTAGTATTAGGAAGGTTTTATTTTTTACCAATTTCTGGTAACACTGGTACCACACACACCTCAGGTGTCTCTTCCAAGCCAAGAACAATGCCTTGCTTCTTCCACAAGATCATGGGGCCCTGTTCATCTTTAAGGCTACTCTTGGACTTTATTATTCCCTTGTATCATCTCCCATTGCCTTTGGAAGCAGAGAAGGTGAAGGGGATCCCATGTCCCGATGTGGCTTTCCCCTGCACCACCCCTTTCATCATAAATAGCTGACATGCAACTTGCTGCTCTTTTCGCATCCCGCAGGCTCCTCGGGGAGTGGTTTTTGCTCATTGCTTTTTCCTTCCCCACTGCTTAGAGGGCGCTCCTGCCTGTCGTTTCCATTCCTGGTGATCTTGCTGATCTCACCCTCTTCCCTTTCATCATCGATCTTCTCTGGGGGGCATGCTGGCACCTCCTGGCTCTGGACTCGGCGGGACGGCCTGAAGATGGCCCTGCGGAAGCCCTGCTTGAAGCGGTAGGAGAGGAAGCCATAGATGATGGGATTGGCGCAGCTGTTGGCATACGGCAGCACCACCACAAGGAAGTAGACTCCAAAGAGGGATGGCTCCTCTGGCAGCGGGCACACAACATTGATTATGTTGAGGACGTAGAAGGGAAGCCAGCAAAGGACGAAGACGGCCACCACAGTCACCACCATGCGGGTCACTCTGCGCTCTGAAAGCTTGTGCTTGGAGGACAGAGCCCTCACCCGCCTGCCGGAGGAGCGAACCTTCACTACAATCAGGAGATAGCAGAGACAAATCACCAGCAGTGGTCCAAAGAAGCCCAGGGTGGCAGTGTAGACGATGAAGCCAGCTCTCCACACCGAGGCAGGCTCTGGCCACTGGATGTGGCATGTGCTCATCCCTAAAGGGACATCTGAGAAGACAACCACGGGCAGCACCACTATGGAAGACAGCACCCACATGGTTACACTCACGGCCTTGGCCACCCGTGCTGTCCTCCATTTGGAGGACTTGCCGGGGTGGACCACAGCCAGGTAGCGGTCAACGCTCATCACCGTCAGGCAGAAGATGCTGGTGAACTGGTTGATGGCATCCACGGCCATCACCAGGCGGCACATGAAAGAGCCAAATGGCCAGTAGGACAGGGCATTTTGTGCAGCCAGGAAGGGCAGGCCCAGCATGAAGAGTTCATCAGCCAGGGCCAGGTTCAAGATGTACACGTTGGTCACCGACTCGCTCACGGAGTGCCGTAGGACCACATAAATGACTAGGGAATTCCCAGCCAGCCCCACCACACAGACAATGAGGTAGACCACGGGGATGAGGACACCGCTGACAACTACACCAGGGCTGACAGTGGAGGAGCTGTTGGGGATAGTGAAGCCTGCCCAGCTACTGGAGGCATTCTCCTCCTCCAACACTGCTGGCGTGGGGAGGCTAAAAGCAGAAGCGTCCATAGCAGAGGCAGGGAAAAGGGCAGGGGCAGTGTCCTTGCAGGATCAGTTAGCAATCTGGAGCTGAAGAGAAGAGAAAAAAACCATTGATAGTGGGGATACGACAGCTGAACAAGCCACAGGTAAAATCATCACGTTAACTGTGTGTTAGGTATAGGCATGGGAAATCAAGGGGAGTTTGTGGATGCTAGCAGATGCTGGAAAATCTAGGACAATATCAAACCCATCTAGGCCTGCAAGGCACAGTGCACATGGAGGGACAAACGGGGACATGGCTCAATGTGGGCCTCTCCTCTAGCAAAAGATCCTCTGGAGAAAGAACAATAGACTAGCATAAGGACAGGGAAAGTTTTCATTTTCTGCTAATGGATCCAATACTGAGGACAAGGTCACCAGGGGCCTGGTTCTCATTTATGAGTGGCAGGTGGTTTACAAGCAAAAGAGGGGAAAACATCCATTGACAAAGTGCCTTTCCAACTCTGACTTTCCTATTCTCTGAGTATTTATTCTCCTGCTTGCTGAAGCTCTTTTTGGACTGGCAAGGTTATTGTTAGCCTCACAGGAGAAGGAAAAGCACTTTCAATCCAAGCAGAGAGGCTTAGCTCAGCACCTGAGCTGAAGGGCAGCTGGCTTGTGTTATGCCAGTTTGAGAGTAAAAGAAAGATAATTTTGGGTACACCAAGAGGGATCAGTCCAGGTCCCCCTTGTCTCTTTTTCTTCTGTTCTCCCTGCCATTCTCTCCCTCTCCTTCTGCATGCTGCAACACACTGCTAATGGCAGAGGCTTTGCCTGCCCCACCTGTTTGCAGCACCAAAGCAGCGTCCCAGCCTCTCTAAGCTGAGCAGTCCAGTTGTGTGTCACACGAGGGTTTGGCATGGAAACAGCACTCGGCTCACTCAGAGACAGCCTTGAGCAAACAAGCTTTCCATCCACCACCAGCTCGCTGCTGACACTGGAGAGGAGCTGCAGGAAGAGAAGGGACAGTTAAGGGATGGATGTGCCTTTTGTCAAGGCTCCATATGTGAAACACAGAGCCCAGCACACACTGTGGACCAGAGACACCCTGGAAACCTAATGCAGGGGAGATTTGTGTTTCTTTCAGGATTACTCCAGCTCTGGAGTAATTTCTGGAGGTGTGGACTGACAGGGATATCCCCCTGAATTAGGTCCTTGGAAGGGAAGATGACTTGGTGGAAGTGAATGGGGACCTTGAGGCTCACCTTTTCACATCTCAACAAATCTCTTAGGGCTCTGAAGCTTCTTCTCTATTGAAATTAAAACTGGGGATACCAAAGGAAAGAACTCCCAACCTTAAGTACTTTCAGGAGGCCAGAGACACTCCAGAGAATTTTCTTGCAGATGTGATTTTCTGTAGCACCACAACTTTCTTCACAAATGTCTAATATTACAGTATTTGGGGTTTTTTTGTTTGGTTGGGTTTTTGTTACTTGCTTGCTTGTTTGTTTGTTTGTTTTGTAGATGCCATTCCAAGTTCTGGAAACCCTAGGGGAGACCTGAGCTTTAGGATTCCTTGGCTACCAGACAGGCAAACCCAATAGACCCCACAGATGTATTAAATTTTACACTGAAGGAACCTCATCTGAGAGGCCCCATAAAAAACACAGTTGAACAACTATATCTTAAGGCCATTTCTACCGGCTATTGTATAAATGTTTCCTGCTTTAGAGCATTTGAGCTTTGAAGGACTGGGATGGTTTAGATTTTTTTAAATTTCCAGGTGCCTTGGGCTGTGACACACTGTCCTGCCAGAAGCCCATCTCATGGGGTCCTGCAGTCCCACACATCATGAGTGGCTGCACTGAATGAGCCGAATAGGAAGTGATTTGAAACTCTAAGTTAAAGGCAGTTTCCTCTGATATTTTTTCCAATTCTGTTCTAGAGAAACAAAACACTTGTTGGAGAAAAGAGGAGGGCAATGACTTCTCTAGGGACAAAGATCCCCACAAAAGGTGGCAGAAGCCAGAACAGTATGTTCATAAAAGGATGATCTTCTGAAAGATGATCACATAGACAGGAATCTCTTTGCACGTTCCTCCTGCATGCAAAAGAGTTTAAAGAAGAAAAAGGCCAAACATTTGGAGCCTTACAAATACCAAATATGGATGGAGATACTTCTGGTTGAGCTCTAAAGCATTTGGAGAAGCGTCTGGGGTCCAGATCTCAAAGCCAGCTGTTCAAAGTGTTGTTTAACAACACAGTAAATCCAGCTTCAGGGTAGCTTCAGAAGCCCTATCAAAAATGCTAAGATGTGCAACAAAAAGCATGGATTTCCTATAAACTCATTTTCCTGCTCAGGCAGCTGCAGAGGAGAAACTTGATCTTTAAGCAGGTGCAGTCTGTTGCTGCCATTCTAACTTTGTCAAGTACCATGGACCAGCTCAAATGCCATGTCACACATTTTGGCTAGTTTGGCAGGAAAAACACTGGGCACCAGTGCTCCACCTAGTCTGGGTCCACTCTGCTGGTGGCTTTGGCAGCACATGCATAGGCAGGAGCTGGTGAGGAACACTGGCCTCAGACTGACAGTGTGATGGCATCCCCTTGGATCTGCTCCTGATGTGCACAGCACCTGTTGCAAGAGGCTTGGGATCCTCTAACAGGTCCTACCAGGATATGCCTGGTTCATGCAGCTGGAGAGCAGGAAGAAGGCAGAGAGGTAGCAGGAGATGGGAAATTGGCACTACTTCTTTCCTTAGGTTGAAAAAGATAAGTATATATATATATATATTTCTGCATTGAATGAGAGGAGGAGGTGGATGCTGAAAGCTGAGCCTAGTCCTGGTAACAAACCATGGGGAGCAGCTGGGAGGGACAACACAGCCAAATAACCTGCACCACCTCTCTTGACCCCCTCCCCTCCTGTCCCCCCGGTTTCCCACGGCCCTGCTCCAGCTCAGGACTCTCCCGTCTCACCTCGGGGCTGAGCTCTCTCCTAAGGACCAGGCTGGACTGGCAGAGTTGGAGGGTCGAGAGCGAGGGGTGGTCGGCAGGTTTCCTTCTCTGGAAGTGCAGACTTAACTTCTGCGTGGACTCATGCCCGCGGGAGACATCCGGGAAGGGCGGCCAGAGCCGCCGGGTACTTACAGGTCGTCGGGATGCACATTTTCCTCCGCTTCCCCGGGAGAATCCGTGTCATGCTTTTCCCCTTCCCCTTTCTCAAGCGCGAACGAGCAAAGCGCTCCCGTGGGGAGCGAGCCCCGCCGGGCGCTGCCGGAGGCTCGAGTCCCTCTGGCCGGGCTTGCCCATCGCCCCCGCCGTGCCCGGCGCGGGAGGGATGCGGGATGGCGGCCCCTCAGCCCCGCGGCCCCGCGGCCGTGCCCCGCGCAGCCCCCGCCATCCGCGGGCTCGGGCAGCGGGAGCCAATGGGTGCCACGCACCGAAACACCGGCAGGAGAAGGAGGAGAAGCAGGGGATGGACGGCAGGGCAGGAGAACAAAGATGAGCGGGGGGAGATACCGGGATGGAGAATAAAAGCGGGAGAGGGAGGCGCAAGGAGATGGGCAGAGGGATGAGGGGAGCGCAGAAGAGGGGAGGATGAAGGAATGAGGAGTGCGGTAAAAGAAGCTGAGGACAGTGGGGGGAAGAGGGAGAGGAAGAAAAGAGGGATTCAGAGAGCAGCGATGTGGTGGGAGAGGGGCACGCAGGAGGGGGCGACTCGGCTCGGCTCTCCTCGGGGCACCCTGGAGACGGGCCCCTGTTCCAAAGGTCTTGCAGGCAGGACTGGGGCTGCTCGGAGCTGCAGGCACACAGCAAATCCTTCTGTCTGGCAGGGTGCTCAGAAATCGGGCAGATGTTGAGCACACAGACCCTTCTCCCTTCTGTTCTGCCCTGTGAGCACCTCCAGATGGATGGAGATGAGGGCAGATGGGCAGATAGGAGACTGTCTCTTTCAACTCCTTCCCCTTCCCTGGCTCCACACATGATCTCTTGTCTTTTGCACCTCCATTGGGAAAATGTTCCAGTTTAACAGCCCCAAACTTTCCTACCAAATTTAATCTCTGCTGTAAGGCATAGACCCAGAAGAAATCGATCTAAGAAAGAAAGTAATCTTTGTGAGAGCAGTTGTCCCATGAAGGATTTTCCATCCCATTCCCTGCACAAAGGGCTTCCCTGTCATTCTCACCCCCTTTCCTGCCCTGCAGCCAACATCAGTGACTCCTTGTACTGTGCATCACCCAGTTCTTGACATTTGGCACTGTTGTTGTGAGCATTTGAGCCCCTAGGGTAAATTCCAGCTTCAACAAAAGAAAGTAGGATCTCTTCGAGCACAACACAGCCAGGGTCTGGCATCCAAACCTACTTGGGCAACTTTATATGCAGCTGGTCCTGCCCAAAGGTGAGTTGATGAAGGCAGTACAGGGTTTCAGATCTGCCAGGCCTCTTTAGGCCAGAATTTGGCCACAATGCTGTCTGGAGACACAGAAGAGAGAGGAATCCTCAGTGGGAAAGAAATGGCATGGGTAGCACCCAGAGGTTTTCTTTACCATGGCAGGGCAGCTGTCTGTAGCACCATGCAGAAACCCCCAAGCTCCTTTGTTAGAAGAAACAGCCATGAAACAGCAGAGTTCTACACAGTCCTGCTAACCTTGCATAAGCACAGTCATTGCATCACAAATTCCAGGTCTCCAGATCACTCCCTGAATGCTCTAAGGTGTCCCATTCTCTGCCTCAGCTCCAGTGGGGGGCTGTGCAAACTGCTTAAATTGTGCTGGGAGGACAGCTCAGCCTGTGCACCTCCCCAGGTAGGCAGATACATGAATTTTGTTTCACACACATCATATGCATTGCTGTACGTTACAGGGGGTGGGGCAGACTGAAAAGGTAAAAGCCAAGGCTTGAAAACTGGAGAGAAATAATAAACTGCTGGGAATATATTGCCTTGAGTCATGCTTAGGATGCTTAAAGGAGGTTAGATACCATTTCCAAGTACTTTGTGTCCCTCACCCTTTCACAGGTATATGCCCATACCAGAGGCTTCATTTTTACTCTTCTGGACTTACACTGCATAATTTGTATTACCTTTGGGTGGGGCCTGGGCAATTAATCCAGCAGCCCATGTGCAGTGCAGATATTTGTGGAACTCCCTGCCACAGGGTGCCTGCCAAGGGTTGCTCTGAACTTTATCAGTAGGAAAAGTGTCACATCACTGAATTAACTGCCTCATTCAGATCTGACTGTGAATTGGAATTGCAGAAATCTCCCTGGCAGCAGGGTACCTCGGGAGCTTCCCTGTGTCTGGGTGCACCTGGCATCACCAATGCTCCTCCTCAGTGCAGGAAGCAGCCTTTGAAGCTCAGAAGTGTTGCTGCATCCAGGAGCAGTAATCTGGCTCAACTCCATAGTTTCTCTGTGCCCTCCTAGGACTGCAGGATTTTGCAGTGCCAATCATCACACCCTGAGCCCTCCCCTCTCCTGCAAGTAGTGGCAGTAGCAGCCACCCTGTAACACTTCCTCTGGAGTCCCTGCAATGCATCAGGAAAGCAGGTGCTCACAGCTGCCAGATCCATGGTACCGCTGGGACCGCTCTCTTCAGCTTAATTTTAGTGTCTTGGAGGCAATTTGTCTGGGCTGGTGACTCATTCCTCCCTTTTAATTTTTTTCCCTGCCCTCCCCCTTCCTATTCTCACTCTGCCTGTGTCTGGCAGTGTGAGAGAGTGCCAGAGCTTAGAAGGATTAATGCAGCAATGTTTAGGTGAAAAGATGTCCCCAGCAACTGCGGGGGCAGTCCCCAGGGAGAGGAGTCTGCATCCAGGTGTCCCCTCCCGAGGCCTGCATCCCATCCTCTGTGTGGCACAGAGGGGAGACAACTTTTCCTTTCAACGCATGGATACCGAGAAGAGGAAAGGCAAAAGGAATGCGGGGGGCTCAGGTGAGAACTCAGCACCTTCGCAATCATCCTCCAGCCCCCAGGCTCCCCGTGGGGCTGCCAGAGGAGGGGCACAGCTCCAGCCCCGCCGCCCCACTGCTCACGGCTCCAGGGCTGTGTCCCCCGAGGTGCGACACATCAAGGACATGACACAAATGTACAGTCTGTTTATTACATCTTATTCACTACATTGCAACCTCAGGGGCCCGGAAGGAAGGGAAGGGGCAGTTGGGCAGGTGAGGCAAGAGCGGGGACGTTGTGTGAACGTCAAACCAGTGCTACAGACCCACAGCAGTCTTTCAAGCCGGGAGAAGGAAAAAGAAGGAAAACCCCCAAGGTGCTGAACGCTGGGCTGCTGGAGCCATCACTCTCCTGTGTGCTGGGCAGCTCCTGGTACCAGGATGAGACCGGGATCTATAGCCAAAAACATGACAGACCTCATAATACCAGCTCAACTATTTTCCTGCTTTCCTTCCCTCTGCTCTGCTGATGGTGGGAGTATGAAGGGACAGGGTCCAAACTAGCAGGCTCTCACTCTTCTCTCTCATCAGGCTCTGACCAGCTTTGACTCTTGTCCTGAGGCCTCTCTCCTCCCTCTGCTGCCCTGTACTGAAGTGGAGGCAGGTAGAGACAACATGAGGAGTAAAGGACTCCTGTAGGAGAAGCTGCCACTTGCCAATGAACAACACAAAAAACCACTTGAGGTGAGCAGGGCTTGGTAAGAGGAAGGGCCACTGGAAACTGCTATGAATAATGAACAACTTTTTCTTTTCCTTTTTTTTTTTTTCCTACAGGCAAAGGCTATGGCCTCATAGGTCTCAGGGCAGGTCATCCCCAGGGCAGCCTGTATGTAGTTCCCTCTGCAGCAGAAGCCAACAGACAGTTCTTCTCTGTAAGGGCACATGTGGAAAATTCTAGGCTGCCCCACATCAAGAGATGGGAACAAACTTGCCCACAGTCAAGCAGAAAGGAGGGGGAAGTTCATCCTGGGTGCATCATACCACGTTCTGTCCTTTCCCCAAGCAAGATCAGCTTCTCCCTCTCTCTCCTTGAAGGTGACCCACTCCAACAGCCTCACCAGGAACAGAGTGGCCCCGACTGGGTTCAGGAGCAGGAAAGCACCACTGGTGTCCCTCCCAGGGATGCCTGTCAGACTTACTTGCTCAGAGGAGGCTGCATGCCCGTTTCTTTGTCCGGGTGGGCTGCGGGCACAGGACTGCTCGGATGGCCTCGTCAAACACCGTCTTGAGGCCTCGCTGCGTCAAAGCCGAGCACTCGAGGTATTTCACAGAGTCTGTCGGGAGGAAAGCAGCTGTTGCACTGCAGGGGAAGGCAGCTGGGGTAGGCAGTGGGGATACCCAGGTTTCTGCTCCTTACGCTAGAAAGCACAGCACCTGGCTCCTGCCCAAGCTGAATAAACACATCTCAGGTGATCACAGACATTACACATTGTCAAGACACATTTCACTCACTCAGACAGTCTTGACTTCAGGGCAAAGCTTGCCAGCTGCACTAGACCTAGGTTTGCCTACTGGCTACCCATGTAGCCAGAGCACAGCCATTTTGTGAGTCTGATCATGTCATCCTGGCCAGACACTCCCTGTGCTGAGCTCCTTCTTGGAAACTCCCTCAAGCTGTGTTTCTTACCCTCTCTCCCATTTCTGTGTGCCACAGATGAGGAGAGCTGGATGGTGGGGTGGGACACCCGTACCTGGGATGTATAAGCCCCAGCAGATAGAAGTAGAGACAGGAAACTACAGTTGCAGTTCTTCCTGAGAGGTTAAAAACCTCTCTTCTGCCTCTCCGGATATGGAGGAGTGGCCTCTACCCACTGTGCAGCTGTGGCTTGCACAGAAAAAAATACTGTCCCAGATAGAAGTAAGCAGAGCAAAAGGGGAGGAGAATGTGAAAGTGTGTGGTTATGTGTTTATGTGGAGGATGGTGGCCAGAGAAAGGCAGAAAATAGAGAGCTGAGGGGTTGAGCTTTCCTCAAGAAGCAGATCTCCTTCCTGAGTCTCCTGAAGTGCATTTTGTCCCATGACCCTGCATGTGTCTCCTTGTGTCCCTCAGAGATACCACTGTGTGATACCACCACAAAAGCCTTGTTAAATTGAGGTGAAGCCCTTTTCTTCTGCCTCTCTCCTTTCAGTAGGTCCAAGATGACTCCCAAACACCTACCTATTTCCTTGGCCAGAGCAAGACCCTGAGGATACGTTATGGGAGATAGCTTCTTCTCCTTCAGCTTCTCAATGGTGTCCTTGTCATCGCGGAGATCCAGCTTTGTGCCCACGAGGATGATGGGGGTGCTTGGGCAGTGGTGCCGCACCTCGGGGAACCACTAGCAAGGCAGCAAAATGCCAAAGGGGTGAGAAGAGGTCACATATATGGGCATGCACATGGGAAACAAAGAGGCACTCCTGAAAAATGTCAGCTAACAGCCTGTCCTTTCTCACATCCATTGTTGGCACTATAGCCTGGCCCAGGCCAACTCCTGTTGCTGGGTCCTCAGGCAAAATCTCTGACAGGGAGCTCAAATTTTGTTATGCAAAAGCACCAGCTGTTCTCAGCCCTCGACCCTCCCACGCAGGGAAGAACATTAAAGTGGTAGGAAGGACATGCTTTTGTCCTCTGTTCACCAATCTCTCCCTTTTTTCCGCACTTCCCATCTAAAAGCTGTGGGTACCTGCTTCTATTCCCTATGGACCAGTTCTGTGTGTCTGTGCTTTGACAGTCCTGGCTGAAAGATGCCACC